AAAAAAAAGGAGACTCTCTCCCCCCCCAAAAAAAAGGAGACATTCTCTTTCTCCCAGTGCACCCCCTATCCCTACTATCCTACCTCAGTGTGACCAGCACTCAGGACCATCACCCTACCAGTATTGAGGGCAACTTGGACCAGATAGCAGTGACAAGCACCCCTAACACTATCACCCCCACACCCCTTTTCAAAGTTTTTCGGTGGCAAGTACCGTCCCTACCCTGCCACTAACACCCCCAGCCCCCTTTTCAAAGTTTTTGGCCGGACAGTTTGCAGAAATGTCTGCTGAAGCCCGTGCTTGCTGAAACCCCACCACTAACACCCTCACCACAAACCCCCGACCCCCGACCCCCAACCCCCGACCCCCAACCCCTGAAATCCCCCCCCCAAACGAAACTTCTCTGTTCAAAGTTTTCTTTGCGGTTTCGGGAAGATCTCGGCGAGCGCAGTCCAACCATGTTTTCAAAACAAAATAAAAATAAAAACTTCTCCCACTTTTGGGCCCAACCGAATTCCGGTTGGATCTGGCCCGGTGCAACCCTGGGACATAGCCTTTTCTTCAACCTATGGGAAGAAGGGCTACAGGAAGACCCGATAGCAACCCTCACTGCGGGCAGCACCCCCTCCTCCCTCAACCTCATCTTAGACTCCTCATGATAAGAAGGCAGAGAGTCCCCCAATAGAAGATGGTAGCATTAGAATCAGAGATTAAAACACGGAATCCAGGGGCAGACTACAGTCCGGTGAGAAGGTTAGCTTTGGGTTTAGGGTTATAGACGGTTAAGCAAGAAACAGATCAGGAAGGCCCTCCCTAGCAGATAGTCAGAGCAAACAAACTCAGGCTTAGAGGTAAGTTCCACAGTAAGTAGTTGACGCTAACTTAGGCAGGGGTGAGGGGTAGTATATCCTTCCCAAAGGAAGTAATCAATGCCGTCCACTCGGGCCTCTCAACCGTAATGGGGAGGAGTGTGCGTAACTGATTCACTTCTTTGACTTGCCGGCTGCATAAGAACCGGACTGATGCTCCCCATAATGGAAATGGAGTCAAAGCCCTGACGTTATGTTTTGTTAAAAAAAAAAAAAGAGTAAGTTTGAGGGAAAGTCTAAAAATTGAAATGATACAGAGAAATTTCGCGTGGCCCCAGCTGTGTAATGAACCTCTTAGTTCAACACCAGTGAGCGCACATCTTCACACCACATGCATGTATGAGATCACACGAAGTTCACTCTGGAGACCACATGAAGTTCACACTGGAGTCTGAGAGATGAAGACCAGGTAGCGCAGCTTATCAATTCCAATAAGTAATAACAGGAGCAATTAGAGTCCAAGTCACCAGCGCTCATCAGCGCATATGAAAGGTAACCAGTAACCAGCATAAGATCTCAGGTAAGTATATCTTCCCCACTGCTCTTCTCTCATATGAATCTCTTCTCCTCGCTGGTCTTGCTGTGTCTTCTCTTCCTACATGCGTGCACACTCACTAACTTATACTCAAGGATCTACTCCAAATACACCCACTGATATGCCTACTAACCTTCTGAAGTCTACTACTAACAGTCCGCACTGGCACAGCTATGGCTGCCTTCTCCCTGCTAGTGCAATCTCTTCCTCTCTCTCCGTCTCTCTTAGCGCAGCACTCTGGCTTCAGCGCTCTGCCCCTCACAATAGTGCACACGTGCACCAGCACTTCCAGCAGTAAGGATGACATATTAAAAAAGAAAAGAACATAAAAGAAGCATGACAGCAAAAAGCATGGGAATTAGAATAGCGAACTTACATTGTTTTCAGTTCACCCTTCGGGTATGTGATATCTGTCAAAGTCCATGGTATTCGCCCAGAAAAAGAGTTGTTGCTAAGGTTCCTGGGAAACAGTACATTCGAGCAGAACAGAACCAGCAGACAGTCAATCCCTTCTGGAGAGCAAAACAGAACATTGTGAGAAGAACACAGCACAAGATCAAACAGAGCACAGCGGGCATGAACTATGTGTTTCGTTAAAAAAAAAAAAAACGAACTCTTTCCTCATTTCATCCACAAATCATCCACAAACCATCCATAAAACAAGGTATAGATAGGCAATAATAGACGATGCAAGGTTGGCAGCGCCAAGTGTCCATACACCCGCCTGCCGCCAAAGAGGCATGCTTGCACAAATATATTGTCACATAACTATGAACTAAAAGAGGCATCCTTGCAAAACAAACGGCAAAAACAAAAAATAAAAAAACAAAACAAACATGAAGGGCACACTGAAACCATTCATTTTTCTCATTCTTCTTTTAACTCCCCCTTCACCATGCCACGTTGATGAAGCTGAGCGCGAGCTGCCCCCATCCCCGTGTACCATAACGGCCCATTTGTACGCTGTGAGAAAGAGGCAGAGTGAAGGGGGGGAGATAAACACAGGGAGGAGAGATGGAAAGCAGACTAACAAAGAACGATAAAGGGAAAGTAAGGGGAAGTACTGCGTGTGGAGTGAAGATGAAGGCAAAAGAGGATAAGAAAAGGCTCAAGAATGAGTCTGTCCTTGATGACAGAGAGGACATACATTGTACGGACGAGGTGGAGTGCAACAATTGCCATGACGGCTGGCATTGAGCATGCCCATCATACACCCCCGACAAATGGCATGTCGATTGCAGGCCAAAATGAAGGAAGAACAGTCACCATAAAAGACCATGCATTCATATGGCGCCCATGGCCGCAGTCAGGAACGGAGGGACAGTCCTCTGCACACATGGATGCAGAAACCATGTCATTGTAGTGATTGTGACAGAGACAATGGCGGCTACAGCCGAGTGTAACAGTGTTTGTGCGTGTGCAAAGGAGAAGGTCACATAGTGTTGGTACATTGTCTTGCTGCAGCACGGGGCCAGAGGAATGATCTTCGACATAAAAGAGATTGCGGATGGTTTGTTGTGGCAAGAAAACAGCATCATTTTGTAAGAAATCAGTGACATCAGTCATGGCATTGACCATGGTGCCGCTGTCCCACAATTCCCAGTGGTCAAAGGCATGTACAATGACCATGTAATGGCCAGGCCGTACACAATGCAGGCAGATGCGGGATGGAGGATTAAACCACTCACCTGCTCGATCATTGCGTAGGTCAAGTTGACGGTCCCTCATTGCTACTTGTAGGACAGCAATGGTAAAGCCTCCTTCGCTGGTATAATTACAATCCTCTGGCTATAGTTCGGGAAGATCCGCATCAAGCTGAAGGGCGATTGCAAGGAAGTCTGATGGTGTATAAAACGGGCGGTAGAGAATGGAGAGACAGATATTAGTTGCCATCAGACCACAAAGATTGGTGAGGTTCTCAGGCTGGTTTGTTGGATGCTGGCCAACAATTTGCAGATCACAGAGATGGTGTTGCACCCCACACTGACTTGGGTTGTTTGCCGGTCAGTCATTTGCAGATCACCAATGTGGTCTGCACGTGGCGGAGCACAAATTTGTGGTTCATCCGAACAATGCAGGTCAGCCATTTATAGATGCCCCATGTGGTCTAAGCCTTGTGGGGTCAACTGCAATCCGGGCAGATCATGTTCCGATTCCTCAAGGTTTAGGGCTGCATCCTGAGAAATGTTGTCACGCGGGGATCCCCGCGGCCCAAGCCGGGGTAGGG